TATGATTTTCGATTGATTATAAAATTTTAATACATTAACTACTTGATATACTATATTATTATTATAGTACATAGTAACTATAATATAACTATGTTTACTATCGCAATGTATCGAAAGAGTTGATATTATATTATACTCTGCAAATAAAATATACTAAAACACTGTTTTAAAATTCTCCTTTGTACAAAATTCAAATATTGAAATGGATTTTTAATTTGGCTGTTTGATTGAATCAATAATCTTAAATTAGGGTAAGCGTGTTACTGATTGGTATAACGCGTGCAGCCAAGTACGATCAAATATAGTTTCGCCGCCGGACAATATTATCGCACACTATACAAGGGCATTTCGTTCGACTTGACCTTCCTCGCGATCAAATAAACGGCTTTTAAACATGTTCTCCATTACTCGCGAGTATAAAAATACGATTATCAAATTAAACCCGACGCCGTATTATGTTATACTTTATCTCACTACACATTTCCAGTGCAGTTATTAGGATATCGCGATTTACAATAGGTAATAATATTATCGTTTGGATTTCAAAAATGTGAACGTTTGACGAGCTTTTACACAAATGTGAAATGAGGCCGTATTCTATTATGATTTGTATAATGTGTATAGCTGTGTAGTTCCGATAATATATCGGGTGACTATTATTGTAATAATAGCACACCGGTGTTGCGGGGATACGGCATTAATAATATTATTAATCGTCCGGGCGCCTCTGAAGAATTAATCAATTACATTATTATTTTGGTGTAATAATCGTTAGGTATACTAGTATTATATTGTTATCGACTATTCATAATTCAATATATATGATATGAGTACGTGTGTGTATGTGCGTGTAACCGGCGAAATCGATTGTTTGCCTACAACATCGGTAGGACAACAAATATTTCAGGATATGCGTTTTGAACATTGTTAGGCAATTCATCATGTCGGAAAGCATATGGCGTTGATGTATGGCTCAACGCACCGCCGTGGTGTATTTCCCTTGGAACTCGCGTGGCACAGATTGGTAACGGAAATGGGGCGAATAAAATATGCTGCAATTTTTCTATCACAGCAGTTCTATGGCTGTAAACGATATTATTGTATAGAATCCTAATCTGTTTCAGAGTTGTGGCCGTCAATGAACAATAACTTAATGTTATAAAGTGTTTTAAATTTATATCATTACGACGTAGCCAATAGCCGTGCAGTTTAATATCGTACATGGTATCATATTCCAGGGTTTAACTGATCTTGCGATTCCTCGATAAAATATATCCCTTTAATATTTTTCAAATTATTTTTTGAGCATTTGAACAAGTCGTTTAAATACTCTAGATCACGTTTAAAAATTAGCGTTAAATAGTAATTTTTGTTAAAGTTAGATCGATTGAGACTAATATTATCAAAGGAAAAGTATCGACAATATTAATTACACGTTTATTTAAAAAAAAGTGCGTTTAGTCCCAACAAGTTGAACAAAAAATGGTACTTTACATATTTATATACTTCTTACAGTGGAATATCAAGAGCACTAAATAGTTTTCTAATGAAAGAAAAAATAGAAATATTTTATAAACATTTGATGGGTCAGCAATATTTTTTTAAAGAAAACTTAGCCGATGAAAAGTAATTTCACTAATTTAATACATATTATTCAACCATTAATATTTTGTGAAGTCAAAGACATCGAAAATATCACTTCATCGCATCACACGCTTAACAAAAACAACAATTTTTATTCAAACCACTTCTGTGATTTAAACAACAAGGTATCACAATATCACATCACGTGACTAGAAATGTATTTAGTTTAGAAGATCATCTCCTCATGAAGTCATTTTGTTTGTATGTAGGTAAACTTGCGTTTCGCGGCAGTAATGCGAAAGCAGTTCCCGCGGCGCCGTCGGTTCAAACACGAAAAAAAAAAAAAAAGGTAAACTTGCGTTTATAATTAATTATGAATATTAAGGGACGCCCCGTGCTCGCCTTCTAACTTCTAAGTGGTTTGATTTATGACATTTTAAGAAATATTTAAATTCTAATACAAAATATATTTAAATCTCAATTCTATGAGCAGTTTGAAAGTGGTTCTAAGTTAGTATAGCATTGCTACTTAATTTATTACGAGACTTATATTCATTTTTTCCCCATAAAATGACTTAGGAAAATAAAACGTTATTGCACAGACAAAGTTATAATGAAAATTTGGTTTTTTTAACTTTAATAGATGTAGTCGTTACTGTATTCTGACTTATGTGAAACCGTTTTTAAAAACAAATTATGTAGGTATGTGTGGGAGACGTCTCAATATAGTATAATATAATTGTTGTGCTGATGATTTGTATACATATTTAATTGTCAGCCTTATTACTTCCACTCCGATGAAACGTACGAAGATATTACGTTTCCTAGTAATCTAGCCGAGCGCGAGGGAGGTGCTTCAAAGTAATATGCACGTCTGTAACTTATGAGTAAACGGATGTTGTTCAAAGGTACTAGGAAGCTTCTACGGGCGTTATTTTTTTGTTTAAGGTAATTAATAATACTACTAAATATTTACAATCCTTCAAACTACGACATCTAAAAAACAAAAAAAATTTAAAATACACAATAGCTGTGTGTCGACGGTTAATAATAATACGTAATTTTACTTTTACACACTCGTGTAATAACGTTTTTTTTTTTTACTTTACAGTATGACGTGTTAAACATTTTCTTAAAATTAACAGGACCTGAGAATAAATTATAAAAATGAAACACTCAGAGACCTAGTGTTTGAAATTCGTAATGTTTCGATATCTTGTCCAGGAAATAGGACAATATTGTATTACAAATCTCATACTGATAATAAATAATAATAATGAATTCTGCAGTAGTAACCATGGCGGGGACACTAGCGCTAACACAAAGATCTTGCAGCGATGCTCGAGCGTATGCGTTTTTAAGTTTTTTTTTCTGTATCTGGGTACCTATTTAGTTTACTATCTATTATACTCAATGCTAATACGTATAAACATAGAATTTAATCTACGTAAGTACGTACTAACAATGGTTAGGTTAGGTGGATAAAGGTTTTTTTTTTTGGTGGGCGGGGGCATTGACAATTTTTCATATTAGTTTTGTAAACACAATATTTAGGATTGGTTTTCATTCTTTTAAATAAAGTAAATATTACTCAAATTTTTCTAACATGAAAAATTTAATTTATAATTAATATTATTTATTAATTTATTATCTATAATAATAATTATTATTAACTGATATTATTACAACTATACAAGTAGACTGTATGAAAACCCTCATACAGTCTGTGATATAACTGTCAGGGGGGGGGGGGGCAGCAATCTCCACCTTGAATCCACCATTAGGTATTAATAATAATAATAATAATAATAATAATAATAACACATAGCAATGTATTTATGGTGGCTCAAGTACATGACGCCCAACTGTAGGTGTATGGCTATAATAGCTGGTGTATAATATAAGATAAAACCTGTATGAGCCTGATATTATCAATAGATAGTAGTATTTATTAATAGCGTTTTATAAAAATAAAATCATAAATTTAAACTGGAGGGGGGGGGGTAGTTGTAAGTAACCGCTCTGTTGTAGAGCTATAGGTGTCAAGTAAACTATGTCGTTGAGTAAGTCGCTGTAAATATTGTAATGTATATTATGTGTTAAAATTTAATTCAATGATAAATCATTGCATACGAAAAACGATTCTAAGCTGAGACTGTCAGCATATACCTACTGCCAAGTATATTTTATAATAAATTTAAAATTAAATTAATCTAAATATTTAAAAAATGAGCTGCGCAAAATATAATACAATGTACAATGTAATAAAATATGTAAAAGTTTCAAATCCCCTCAAAAAGTATTTTTGAATTACAACAAATTATCTAAAATTGTTATTCTTTGTTGCAATATATTTTAATTTGTACTTAATATGTCTACCAAAAATAATTATTGATTATATTCGATTTTTTAGATTTTCAAATATGAATAACCTTGTATTCAATTTTCAAGCTGATTGATCGAATGAAATAATTTGCATCGATATTTATTTGAAAAAAAAAACTAAAATAAATCGAATAGTTAAAAATTACACTTGAAGGAATAGCAAATGCAAACATAAACATTCGTTGAAAATTTCAAGCAGTTTATGTAATAGGTAGGTATCATATGTAACATATAAATGAAGAAAATATATATTTATATTATATGTTTTATATAATCCAAAAATAATAATCATAGACTTATACAATTAACCAAAATAATGTTTTTTCTTTTAAACTTAATATTATATTACGCTTACGTATGAACAATTAAAACAAAATAGGTAGTTACTATAATATTACCTATCTATACCATTATATCAATAATTATTGAATATTTTATCACTAATATTTTGTTTTAACTTATAGGTACACGATATATTACCACAATGGGGAATAGAAATGAGCTTGTTAAAACCATAATTATTATAACTAAACGAACTTGAAAATTAAAAATGCCCACATTTTTATTTAATTATTTGTAGTTATCATAAAGTTTAATTTATACTATTACAATCAAAAATTACATTAGGTATTAATGTATTTCTGTTGTAATAACAATAATATTATAAAAGGGAAAAGAGAGCATTTTAGCTCGTCAACTATTGTTAATACCTACTTGTGATGATTATATTATATAATATACCATATACCTAACTGTTGATGATTATGTTTTAAAAGTGATAATGAGGCTGTCAACATTGTTTGTAGAACAATGTCTAAGCGTACTTTAAAATTACAATGTGGGTCCAAAAGTGTATTTAAACATTGTAACCGTTCATCGATCACTTCAAAGTTCAAATGTTTAAATTATATTTAATTGTTATAATGTCTGTACAATGTTTCCGTAAAATTAATTATTCTCAAGTGAGCCTCTCGTTACATTGCTATTTCCACGTTTTGTCGTAGACATTATGCGTGTCTACAAAACTCCATAGCTAGTAGATACAAATCGACCCCGTAACCTATTTTAGGGTGCAGTCTTGAAACAACGGACGACCTTCAAACTAAAACGATAACCGCACAATAAGTATTTACGTGGGAAAAGAACTGTTTTAGTACTTGCACGTCAGCACTGTCAGACAACCGTCGGTTCCACGATGTCCAGGTGAGACGATAAAATATGTAACATCATACATTTTTACTACTTTTGATTAGTTTAAGTTTTACTACTTTTTTTATATCAAATAGAAAATAGAAGGTACGTATGTGCATTATTTCTTAAGGTACCACGTGTCTTGACGGTCTTGGGAATTATATTATATCATCACGTCGATCGCGATGTTGGGATTTTTTCTCGATTTGAAAAAACCGTTATCGCTGTTTTTTTCTGTTTTTTACTCAGACCTATATCTATATGTTACTATTTATTGATCTTGTTTGTAGGCGTACCATATTTTAGTACTGATAACTTACTATATATACCCTATGGCCTACCCGAAGGCCAACGATACCGCAGGTAATAATAATAATAATAATAATATAAAAAACGTATCATATAGACACGACATCGTATTCACTGGGTTGGATGATATCATTGTAACTCATATATTATTTTGTATTGATAGAACCCAAAGTAAACGTGACGTGCTCACTGCTTATATGTATAGATTGGATGTACCTACCTATGATTTTCTGCGATTCTCGTATATTATTCTTCATGCATTTTTATTGTTGTTTCTATTTTGCTATATACACGAGTTTTGTTTTGATGCACTCCACACACTTAGCCATGGGGAAATATTGACATTTCCTTTTTAGTTTGGTAAAAATGCTTTTTAATTGTTTAAATTAAATAGCACTGTTGATACACACTTTTAAATTCTTCGAATAAAACAAAGCGATGGTCAAATTTCGAGATTTCACTAAAGTACAGTGTGTATTTATTTGTTCGTATACTTACTTGAAATTCGACCAATATAGGAAGTTTAATTTACCTCAACAAAATACTCATAAATAATAAATATCAGGTATATGAATGTATAGGTCATTGACAATTTCATCGATTCTGAAATGTGCAGTGAGCTATAGTTTCTCTTCCTATACACGTCATAATATAATAGGGGACAGATAGTAATTATTAATTTACCACTTTTTTTAAAATTTTAAGATCATTGAATATTAATAAGTTGTCGAATTAGAAAAATGACTCTGAGCGAAGCTTGATTTACCTAAAAATGTGGTTGCTCTCATAAAACATAAACTATATATAATCTTAACATTTTTCCAATACATTTATAGAATTAATTGAAAATTACTAAACAATCGCCTTATTGAATGCACCATTAACTGCGTTGTATTATCAGTTTACAGATATGTAGTAACTAGTAATATAATATATTATTCAGGCAAAGTTATAAAGATAGTTATAAGATATAAAGAGTTATGTTCTATTAATTTATTAATTTATAATATTATGAAGTTATAAGTTATAAGATTATAAATAAGATTAAGAGTTAAATTAAGAGTGTTTTAAATGCCAATTCTGGATAAAATTTCCCCATACTCAGCAGGAGAAGGTCAAAATATGAACCGCAGCTGCAATGTACAATTTAAAATAGCCTGTAAGCGTTTAAAGATAAAAGCGATTGTCAGTTGAAAATATTGAAATATAATATTGTGTTTTATTATTAATATATTGTAATTATTCATGGGATGATTTCTAAAATATTATGTCTTACTTACGCTATTCGTTTAAATTACTATTATTATTATTATTATTGTATATGAGCAGCAGAATTCGTATACGTCTTTATTGTATTAACGCGAGTAGGTAGAGGAATAAGAGAGTGAAAACAATTTTACAGAAACAGTCATCTGATATCGTTCGCATTGTATACGCGATAATAAAATATGATATAGTAAAGACGTGACATCATTTATACGTGTTAGAAATATGGGAAAGTGTGCCTTCTGGGCTTTTATCTTTTATTGTAAAAGTCACTCAACCCGATGACATTGATACGCGTATATTTATAGTAGAAACTCGTATATAGGTATGTATATTGTATTATTGTATTTGTTTGTTATATTATGTATTGACTATACTATAGAAATATTAATTTTTTTTCTTTTGAAATATTTCAACCACGTATTATATTTTAAACTTTTTGTTAATTATACATAGTACTTTCTCCCCCATTTGTAGAAACAGTATCCTTCCTCTTGTTATCCAAATGGACACCACATACAGTTAGTGTAACAACTTAAGTTTTCTTTATCTTTGATTTAACGTTAATAGGAAAATGTCCACGTAGGTACATAATCATGATTTATTTTTATAAAACATGTTCTGACCTAAACATTAATATCTTTAATGTTTTTAATTCATTTTGTAAACTCAATAATCTCTTGCAATGTTGTAATTAATAATATTATCTGTACTTTTACCTTTTGGGTCTTTCACATCAATAAAATAAAAATAAATCTATATTATTATGGGAAATATGGTTTATTCTTAAACATTTTTTTATTAGATACAGTTTATTGTAATCAGACATATTTGATCAGCTGATTAAAATTATCGAGAAGTTCGCAACTGCTCAAATAGCTATATGTTGTATTGTTAAATATATTTATATATTAAATTTATACATACTCCGATAATAATTATTATATAGCTATTAGAAAATAATAAATATCATTAAATTAAGAATGGTCTTTTATATTTAAATCCTCATCGATGCTATCATACAAATTTGAATACTTGGAAAATGGGAGTAAAATATTCTTACAAATAAAAACTGTCTAACGTTAATGTCATAATTTAATTTAATATTATATACATTGTTGTATCCCTCAAATTTCCAAAATAATGATTTCGGTTTTCAATTTTTTTTTAATAGACAGGTGTAGGTATTTTGTTTGTAAAACACATCAACGTTTTATTATGATTTATTATTATATTTCATTTGAGTTCAAGGTATGCACAGTGTGCAGTAGTCGTCAAAGCGCCATTGTAAAGGGGAAAAAACTCAAAAGTAATAATTTATAACTCTTTTACAGTTGTTCGTGATTGTAAAATCGTCCTTTGATACGATTGGGCGGTAATTTTTCTTTGCTAACATTTTCGTACATAAATACTTAACATGCCTCTTCACTGACGTTTATTTGCTTTTTAGCATCCGTGGCAAAGAGTGAGTATCTATAGCTGTTATATGAATTTTTATTTAGAACATATTTTAAAATAACAATTGATAATTTTCCACCGACAAACTTTTCATGCATGAGTAGAATTAATAAAATATTATTACAACTTATACACTACAGCTATATGCCACACGTTAGCGCTGTCGCCAGTTTTGATTAAATTAGTTTGTGAAACTTCTTTCATATTTTATACTGTATTCAGGAAAACTTATCAGTATTTTTCGGGATCACAAGTTATTAAAATGTGATATTTTATGAACCAAAATACTCAAGGCCGACACGATTTCTCATAATAATTGCGTGTCATTTGCACGATTTATTTGTACCTACGTACATATCATTATACGCACGTTATATTGAAGCATTTTACGATTTTCAACTCGGAAACATTATAATATTATTAGCATTGTTGTAAGTAGGTACTAGATTTTAAGCTATTAGATATTAGATATTTATTATTTATATAATAATATATAGTGTAAAGACTAAAGTTATTGGATAGGTAATTGTTATTATGGTCAGTTTATTTATTAGACAACGATTTTTATGCAATTTATTTTGGGTTTTGTGCAAAAATAAATGTACCAATACAATATACTATGTATTTAAGTACCAAATTTAACTAAACTTAAACTGTTTTTCTTTCAAGCTTACAACAATAACTAAGTTATTATGAAAAGTTTACATTTTAATAATAATTTAAACGAGTACTTATCGCACCGAAATTGTTCTTTATTATATTTGTTGTCGACTGTCGTTTTAATTATAAAAATAATAACAACAAGAAAACATGTATGCTTATTTAAAATTCCCATTAAATTTATCCAACGAAAGTATTGAAAATGTAATTAAAGTAAATATTTAATACTTAAGATATTTGTATAGGTACCTATGTAATACGTTTCTAGTTAAACATGGCTCGAAACACCGCAATAAATAACTTACATAACGAGAACATTTTGTTTTATTGCTTTTTTATTCAATATACTTTAGAAGACTAATTCGATTAATAAGTAATGGATTATTCTCACACTATGGGCCCCGGTATAGACTATAAGAACTATAGTTACTAGTTAATGACAATAGTTTAAAACAATTTTCCTTCTATATATGTATATAAATGACTGTGGGCTTAGTTGGAGAACTTTTTTTTTTGTTTTTAATTTTCTCAAGTGTTTTATTTGATAAATTAATTTATAACGAAAGTTAAAAACCGTTTTTCTTAGATGGGTCGAATGTAGCAACCGTCGAAGAAATTTAAATAGAAAACCTAAGTTTTGTTGATTTAAAAAAAAAAATCATACAAAAGTACATTTATACTATACAATATCATAATGTTCACGATAATCAAAATATTCAGAATTGTATTGTTCGTTTATATTCTGAACAGAACGACGTCGTCATGGACACTTTATAATGAGTCGCGATTTCAATATTGATATTGCCGCTACTTTGCAGTAAACTTGGTATTTGTTGTAAATCACGAAATTATTACTACGATACTAGTTCTTGTCGAGAGCACCAAACACAAAGTAAATGTGTCGTCGTGAACCCATCACGTCGGCAATCGAAATTGACTTTTGAAGTATTAAAATACGACTAGTCAAAACACGACTGATCAGTTATTGAGTTCTGCGTTCTTCTAAAATCAATGAGAGCACTTTTTAACAGCCAGATTCATTAAACAACGACTGCATTACAATATCATCAAATTAAATACCTATAACATGAGCATATTGTGAGGTATAATTATAAAAAAAAACCAGAGTATTAATGAAATGGGGAAAAACTATGTATAAAATGTAATCAAAATATTAACTACAGTTTACTTTTGACTAATGTGAAAAACTTTTAAGTTAACGTACACAAATATGTGCAATACAATGTCACTGTTAGGGTGTTGTGTTTTGTAAAATCTTTTTGGGATGAGAAATACAGCCAAACAGTGAAAAAATATGCTAAACGTTTCGGAGATATAACAAAACCTTATTTTTACATTATACACGCATAATATTATCTTCATTATTTTATTTGAAAATATTTATATTTCATATTTTCAGTAAAATTATAATGTATAAGCTTAACCTTAGACGATTAAACAATGACACCACGTAAGTTTATGGTATGTACCAACTATTGAAATTATTTGAAGTTTATTTTTAAATCATTTCGTAGGATCGGTCATTTCGTCACGGAATTTGTGTAATATTACTGAGATTATGTATTATATTTACGGGATTTTTTTTTTTAGTGATTTTAATATTAGGTACCTACGTGTCGTATAAACGAACATTTTACGATTTTTCATAATATAAAATTATAATATTATGTATTTACATTTTTAAGGGCGTAATAAAAGTCCAAACCATAAACGTTACTATATTTTTATGTCATCCAACCCTCACACATATTATACATAGTAAAATAATACTTAGGTATCGGAAGAACAAGAGACAACTGCAGCAAGACCGACCAGCGTCCGTGCACCGTCAACAGTCTTTGGGGCGTCTACAGCACTGGTACAGCCACAAGCCGGTGGTCACTGTCGATCAGTTGCACAAGTACCGGCGGAAGGAGTTCGGTACCGGACCTGACGGGGTCGCAGCACCGCCACCTCAGCCTCCGATCAGCTTGTCGGCCAGCCCGTCGTTTGACACCGAATACAGGTACCTATACTAACCTACGCCCTGCAGCAGTGTCTTAACGTACTTAATAATAATCGCATTCTACACTATGGTCCAAAGGGTTAGGTTGTCGCCGGATTACTCGTTTGTATACTCACCAAAGATATCAACGAATTTATAGGCTATCTGAGCTTATTATTATACGAGAACAAACTTATGTTAGGCCCTCAGAGGAATAATTACTGATACAAACAGTATTTATATCTTTCTCAACCGGACCTGCTTGCCTCTATTTTGTTAATATAGCAGTGGTCTGTCCATTCTTGAATACCTACCTATGACCTATCTATAGTATACGTCTTACGAGTTATGAGTAAATGAAGGATTACTGATAAAACAGCTTCAGAAAACCGTAATTTGAACTCGTAATTAATATTACATAACGTATATCATCATACTCGAAGATGACTTTTCTAATAAAAAAAAAGTAAATTAGTGAGAGGCAACAAATTAAGAAGGTTCTCAGATTTACTTCAGAGTTGCTCGGTCGATCTGTATATATTATTGACAAAAAGTACACACTTTTAGTGTAATGTACATATTATATAAATGTCACACGGTTTGAGTGCATTGATAATATTATAGTAAAGTAAATATGTATAGATAGTTTTTATACGCATAATAATATGAAGTGATGTACACCAGTAATGTATATTTTTTATAGTGTATCAGCTTTCAAATGTTTATTGTGACAGCTTGCTATATTATTTTAGTTAAAAGCAAAATATTATTTTGATCTCAATACGATTTTTTTTCGATTAAGAAGTATGCAATAGTGCATCTTAAATTCTGCAGAGTATCACTTGATAATAATCATTATATAATAATATAGACTTGACCAAACTTCTAAAACGTATTAGAAAATAACTATTTTGTTCGATATAGTATATTTATTGCTCACATAATTTCAAATTCGAAAAATTCTTTTATGCTTTTGATCGCCACAGTAATAATAGGGATAGGAACGATAAAAAAAATTGTGAAAAATGTGATTTTTTTTTATCTCGTGTGACGTCGTAGGTGTCGTTTCGAACCACCGTACCGGACAGCTGAGGAAATGAGCAACAACAGACGACACGCGGCAGTGCCCAAAGATGAGCTGCAGGTGGAAGGTGAAGCCGAGTTCAGTGCCGAGTACGCCGAACGGTACCAAGACGGGCCCAGGGAACGGAACGTGGCCTGCCGACAGGGAAGTCACATTGGGCCATTTGTGTGCGCGGACGACCCGGCACCGGAAGGCGTCGGCGGCGGCGCCCGGTCCGAACAGCACGACCAGTATGTGCCACATCCGGAAGGCCGGCGGGCGGACAACCTGAGACCGGGCACCGGGTTGAGGATGGACGAGGGGCTGATGGACGGCGAGACCGAGCAGATGGCCAACTATCGCAAGTATCCGGTCACGCCGCATCCGGACGTCACCGACCAAGGTATATGCGTCCAATAATATTATATAGGTTAAGTCATATTATTGTCATCGTGTACAGCCGTTACGAACAAAATGTCAAAATATATCATAATTCATATTTATAAATATGCACATAGGGTGTACTACGACGATCGGACAGTTATTTTGCATTGAAATTACATTTAAATTTTAAATCATGTACGAGACATTTTTGGAAGAAAAGAACACTCATTATGTAGGTCATCGACTTTAGTGGATTTACATAGTTTGGAACTGTAAAATACTAGTAGCAAAATATATTAAAAATCAATCTTATCCTATAATTATCAATAACTAATAATAACTTGTTATGATCAACTGCAACTTGATTTTAATGGTTGTGATTTCATAAAGGCGAGCAAAATATTTTTCAAACAATATGATTTCTCTCCTTATATTGGCCTATTTCCACTTATCTCTTTATAGTAATTATATTATATTATTTAAGGGCTGTCAAAATATAGTTAATTCTGGTCACTGGTTGGTGTAATGTCTGTCAAACAAAATTGTCTATTTCGACTATCTCAATTGTTAATATTGATACTTCATAAATGATGATTGTGATTGTGTGTGTCAATGAGACTAGAGTGACTAGTGTGATAAAAGGTGGAGTGTCCAACGCATATTAGGTTGGGTAAGTCATAGATTAAGCTATGAACGTCGCTAGTTTACGACGGTACAGTGCGCTTTTATGTTTTTTCCCTTCAAAAACCTTCAAGCCGTAAAAAGCTTTTGCACCTTTCCAAGCGTTAAAAACCTAACCCATTCGCTGTCCTGTAATTTATATAGACCAGACTACCCAGAGGTAGTTTTTCGAATTTCCGCGTAGTAATTTCCGAGAAAAAGTCCTCGAAAAACGCATCGAAGAATATTTACAAGCGGCCACCAAACTTATCCGTATACCCGAATACGGATCGAGTTTCACCGAAAATCGTTTTTTATTTTTCTTTCCGATTTTCAAGACGATCGTTTCTGATAAAAAGTTAGAGCTTCTGCTCACACACATTCAAAGTGCTTAAATATAACAAACACTCTTTCGATGTCGATATGGAACTGTCGTATCTCCGCTATACGGACGCCGCTCATGTTGCGCACAAAAATATGTTTTATCACGACTGCAGGTGTAACCTACTTCCGGGAAATTTCAAAAGCGAATTCATATTTTATCCATACGCTTAGATAGGCACTCGACCCGTTCGTCCGACGGCCACGGTAGCAATGACACTTGTTTTTTTTTTTTAATGGTCTTGCGCGTGGCGAAAGTATAAAAATATCGATCTTCCCTAAATTCCCAACACTACAATAATAATAAGTTCGTTTCCATATTATGAAGCGCGTTCACTCTGTCGAGGAAATCTTCCGACGGATAATAATAATAATATTATATATTCAACGGCGATACATAATATATGTTCACAAATAATATATACCTGTATATTTATATACATATATATATATATATACCTATTATGTGCCAATATAATATTGTGTGTTGTGCATCCAACGGTCGTAACTTTTTCCCGAGCGAACCCAACAAAACCGGACCATTTCACACACACATGAGTCCATCGCAGCACTTGCAGTCTGCGTAACGACGAGCACGTGCCTGTACACGTCATAATATTATGATGACAGACGTACACAGACGATATTATTAAAATAATTATTGCAATAAAACGAGTTTGTGTCGACCCACATATCAGATATTTTATCGTTTACGAAGATGATGATTCTTTCGTTTCGCGTTTCTATCAAAGATTGCCAGTCCGGCGAGGGCCATTACCTTTCTAACATCGTAGGTAGGTATAATCGTATAATATGCGATGTTGTCGTACGCGTGTTGTCGACCGAGTTTCGATAATGTGTTGGCACGCGTGGTACGGGACACGATGGATTCGGGTTATTGGGTTTACGACGAAAACGATAAAATAAAGGGTGTGTGAGCACAGCAAAAGCCGTTCGTGACGGAATTTAACGTATAAATTACATTTTTTTTTTTATGATTATTATTATTGTTTTCGGCCAGAGCCGGAATCTTTTGGGGCCGGCTATTATACTGCAGGTATACTCGTTTTGCTCCCGTCTTATCCAATTCCCGAATTGACTTTCACACTCCGACCGGCCAAACGGTTTAATTGTTATGTTTACGTGATGCGTATGTTGTTGTTATATGATAATAAATCTCCTATATTTGACCGCAAAGACCAGAACGAAGGGACCGCGCCGAAGGAATCGAGTAGTCCAACCACTGCAAGACGGCAGCCGTTCGACGAGAGTATGAAGGAAATGGTCCTGACGCGGGACAGCGGCATGTTGCTTCGGCCCGCGCGGTTCTTCGCCGGTGGACCGCCTCGAACCGAGTAAATTCGACGTACATTAATGGCTATTGTTTATATATAGTTGTGTGCGGGTGATGTTGTGTGATTGCTTGACTTGACAATAATAATATGGCTGAACGCTTAAGCTTTGCGCCGCTGGGAGGTTCTGACGCCGCGTGGGATCGAAATACTCGAAAAGTGTGTGTGTGTGTGTGTGTGTGTGTGTGTGTGTGTGTGTGTGTGTGCAGAATACCGTGAACTCACACACTTGACACGACCCGAGTCGTTTGGTTTTATTTTTTATATCTAGACGCGGTTTGTACACGTTAATAGCTTGTCGGCTGCGCTTTATGAAATAAAATATTTAGTTTTAATTCGTCGAAAGACCAAAAACGCTTTGCTATAAATACGGGTGGGACTTGCAGTGGTTTCCTATAGCAGAAGTGTACGATAATCCAGTTGTAATAATATCAAACGGAAAAATATCAACTATCAATAATTATTATTATCGATCCTATGTCTATACTACATAATAATACGTGTAGGGTGATTCACCAAGCATGCTTGTTCCCACTATTTTCTTGAATAATAAATGTAGACATTCAAATGTTAACTCTTGGAATTTTTAAAAATCGAGAACTCAATAATTATCAAATACTTAGAACTGTACACCAATAATTACTGCATAATACTGTGAATTATAAAGCAGATCCGTTTTAAAAATTTGTAATGTATATCTAAATCAAAAATCGAACTTGTTTCTGTATACATACTAAGGACAATAAATGTCTTACAAATTTACAAAACTATATGAAACATAAGTAATATTTAATATACCTAGTAATTATTATGCTCAGACACTATGTAATTTGTATACAAAATATAAAATGTTAATAGATTAATATTTATCACTATACATTTCAAATCATCAAAGCCTTCATGTCTGCATGAACTGCATATAATTATCATGGACCCATTATCTTTAGAACACAATGTTAAATAACACAAAAACTACTATTGAATATTTAAGCTTGGATACACCAACATTTTCAATAAAAATTATCTAGGCAGCTACCATAAAATGTACAGGAAAAATTGTAATAATCATTTAAAAAAAAAAGAACTCGGTACAGGATATTTTTTAAATATTATATATAATTAAAGCATTTTAAACCCAAGACTACTTGAGTATACTTAAAAATTCCAAAAATCATAATTTGAATAAATACCGTCAAAATGAAAAAAGGATGTTTGCATGTTTTTTGAATCACATTGTATATACGTTTTAAGACGTACGACGATATTTTGCCACTAATTTTTCCATATCCAAAATTATTAGTGTGTAGGTACTTAAACTTATATTGTATATACGAGTATGTATTGTATATGCATAAAATATACAGTTATACCTACAATTATACAGTTTTGAATAATATGGACCGTTTGACATTATTGTTTTTTAGTGAATTGTTTGTCCGTGTCTTTTATTTAGCTTACCGGTGTTTAATAAGAGAACCGTGATCAATTAATGTATATAATAATACAAATATTAGTAGAATGGGTTGGAAGGAGCATTTAAAATATACAGTAAATTACTAAAAATGCTAAATAATTTATAAATCATAATAGACATAATAGCATTCGACAATCCTATTGAACTGATGGAACATTTCATGTTGGAAGTACTCAAGTACTAAGCATCGATGCGTGTGTGATGTGCTGGGAAAGGAGATATCGTGTCACTAGTTCGGATACACAGCTTTGGCTGCAGCACGTTATTAATGCAATTAAAATGTTGTTTCATCATGAAGCAAGACAAACACATTTTAAATTCAAATTACATTTATAGCATATTAAACGTAGACATTTAAATGATACATCCAATAAAATATGAGAAATTATCATATTAATACAACTAAATTTGTTGATATCAAGTGTTGTATGGACTTAGATAGACGGAGTTATAAATGCAGAATAATCCAAAACAATGAAAGTATTTTAGAAACAAAAAATGATGTTAAAATTTATAAATTTAACCTACCTTTTTTTTAGCTTATAATTTATTTTTTTAAAAATATTATTGGATTTGGAAGAGTTTTATTCTGACAGAAGTAATATAGCATATCATGTGTTTTAGATTACTAGGTGACGAGAGAAAAAAAATAATACAAAAATTCATTTGTATTTTTCATTGACAATCGAAAGAGATCTTTTTAACCATAGATGAAATAATGTTTTATTCGATTGTAGGACGGTGAGGGTTTGAAAGGAATGAAAATTAGTGCAACACATTCTGCAAGTATTCTCTAACATAATACTTTTATTTTTTTTAACACTGTTCACTTTGGCAGTTAAAATGATTTTTGTATTTCCATTTTTACAATTATAGTAAAAAAAGTCGATCATGATGTTAAACTATACAAATATTAATTTATTGGAAATAAACTCTTTTTCAAACAATAATTTAATTGTTTGGTTTTATTTGTAATTGTATTTCTAACTATATAATATCTTCGTGGCAAAGTACAGCTGATAAGTAAATATAATTTGTACGGAATTGTTGTAGCGTCAATGATTTTAATATGCGAAACATTTCACTCATAATAATTAATAAGATTCACTTTGAATTATCTTGTGAATATCATAATAAAAATAATCAATATTATAAAATGTGTGGGAAAAATGAATTTCATAAGGTTTAGTTATTATTTATATTTAATGGCTTTAATACAGGGCTTGCAAACGTTATAATAACGTTATGATTATAACGTTATATTTGATAAAAAACGATTGAAATTTGTAAACGTAATTATAACGGAAAACGATAAACGTAAATAAATAAATAACACAAAACAAAACGTAACGTTTAACAAAATATATGATGTATCATTAAACAAAACATAACGCAAAACGGTATATATTGTATTCCATTAAACGAAATAATTAATTCCCAATTATTTAATAATACTTAGTAGTATTCAATTATTTATTCAATCCAAGAATTAATTTTATTCCGTATCCGGCCTATCCGGGAGATCCCGTATTAGATATTATTTTAAAACTTAATAAGAAGTTATTAATAGATTAATTTAATTATCAATAGCTAATAATAGTGATGCTCTGATAATATTGTACTGTACTATCTGTACTACGGTCGAAATTTATACCACTCAAGTTATTCAACTATTGTGTTCGGTGTTCAGTTTGCTCAGATTTATTCACTCGTCAGTGTTTGTCTAATTGTTGTCAAATGTTTAATATTTATATTTTATACTAATATACGTATAGTTTTAACGTGCATACGTTTTCTTTATATTAGTTTAACCCATTTAATTAAATAAATAAAATTAAACAATACCTACTTAAAACTCAGAATAGGGAAATTATGTCCCCCAAAAAAAGTCATAGTCGTATACTTTTAAATTGCGGCCTGTGTACTTTTAGAACAGGTATCTCAATACTTTTAAATTTTAAATAACGATAAACGCAAAAATTGTAAAACGTTTTAATTATGAATAACGATAAACGCAAAAATTGTATAACGTTTTAATTCTGAAAAACGATAAACACAAAAGTTGAATAACGTTTAAATTTTGAATAACGATAAACTCAAAATTTGTATAACGTTTTGATTGTAAATAACGTAAAACAAAATTTATTTTTCAAATTCAAGCCCTGCTTTAATACAATTAAAACTTAAAGATTGTTTTAAGTTCATAATTAAATAATACATGGATTGTGATTCAGATGTATACGAACAATTCTTTAAACAATTTCTACAAGTAAATACTATTTAATATTATTTTTCAAATAGTTTTAAAAATAGCTTAATACTAAATTAAATTAAACGAAATGGATTTGTTCGTCCAGTAATAATTTTCTTTCAACCATAACATACAATATACGCCAACTCAGATATCAAAATATTAATATTTTATCATTTTATAACTTTTAAAAGTTTGACGTTATTTTGTTCATAATAATAATCTACAAAAGAAAAAGAATATTATTGCATTCAATACACCAAGAGTTTATTGTAGTTTATTGTAACAGTAATGGGGTAGATTATAGTAGCTGATTTTAATAACAAAACAATAATAGTAAAAATGTATAAATATTAAATAACATTACATATTTGTATTGAAACTGTTTTTGATAAGATGACATTTACATTGAAACATACCGAATAGTATATGTTTAAGATATCGAAAGAGAAATATAACTAAATATTTCTTTTAAATTATGTTTTCTCGATGAGTATATAAACTGTAATTGTTTTGAGTTTATTAAATCGTAGAACAAATCCGAACAACCGTGCTCTGTTAGAAATATCACCATGATGAAATGCAGCAAGTGACAACAACATGTAAGAAAATATAATTAAAATGAATATTTTTTTATAATTGTTTGTTAAGGTAAATGGAGTAGTATTGAAAATAGTTCTAAAAATTAAAAGGAAAACAGTATAATAATGCTAAGTTAATAAAATAAATTCATGTAACACTTCATGGAATTTGAATTTTTATTATTGTATCTCATTTGTGTACAATTTAAAATGAAAATAAAAATACTTAGAAAAAAAAACCGGAATCTAAAGAACAGTTTATGGGAATGTGAATTTTTAAATTTTAAAATCAAATGAGTTCGTAGAATTGAAATTATGCGGACGAAACAACGGAGAATAATAATAATTATAACAATGAAAAGGCAGTGTTTAAGTAATGTCAAAAAAATGACGAACATATGGTATAGTATTATAATATTGTGTTATGCATGCACAAAGTAGATATATCCACTCACAATATAGATGTACATAAGTATATTAGTTGTTTGTTGTGTTTGGATGTGTGTACGCTGAAAAATATAAACTTTCAAAGAAACGCCTCATCATACACTGGCTGATGTCTGTAAGCACGGGCACGGGTCATGTTACCTACCTATAATTATTACATATTATTAAAATTACCACAAATCCATGGTATTAAGTTACACAAACCTCAAAGGAAAACTCAAAAACAAGGTTATCAATCATGCCAAATATTTTGAACCACCTGAATTATTATATAAGTTCATTTTTTTATATTTGTGCATTTATGACAGAATAAAGAAGTGTACATCTATTTTATTGCATACCAAAAAGTATGTATTTAGCTTTTAACATTCATTTTGAGTATTGAAAAAATGTATATAATAAACAAAACAAAAAAATAATACTAATATTTACTATAAAACTGGATTTACATTATTAAATTAAAATAAGTTGTTTGATCTAAAAAATATAAATTAATAAATAGATATCATGTCTGAACAAAAACTGCACAATACCAAAAAGTTTTTCGTTTACTATATTTTATTTAATAAATACTGCCAGTATTCATGAACATTTGAATGGCGATATTGCGCTGAATATTTCCGATTTTAAAGTTTAAACATATTAATAATAATATCATTACCCACGAGCTACGTTGCGTTTTGTGTATCATAATTGCATATACAAAGCGCCGTGGTACAAGATTATTTATACCTTCCTATTAATTTTATTATTATTCATGTACCGTTTACTTTTAAGCTTGATTATTTGTTCAAGCTGTCCCTTTGTTTCAATTTGTTTACGGCGAAGAGAAGGAGCCGATACGTTCTTTGTCCCATGCCATCTCACATCAAACACGATGGCAGCTTTGTAATTACTTTATCGGTGATAAACTCCATCCCGTTTTCTGAACTCGAAGTATTCGCGTTAAGCGTTAGGTTGAAATTGATTAAGTGTGACAAGTACCCCCCCCCCCTCTTGCAGAACACAATATACGTATGACGAAAATAACTTTGACAACGTCCACCACGAGTTTTAGTGTTTGACACGTCATACACCGGTAAAATATGTGCTTTATTCACTATGACATAAATATCATTTGCATATTACCACCTGCTGCTGACTAATGTCGGTCACCCGACATTTGCAACTCAATGTACAACGTTCGAAAACGGTTCGAGAATATATAGCTAGGTACACACATTAATGATTAACGATTGTCGACCGAAATTCTCATTTTTTGTACCAAAAAATCGTGCAATATTCTCGTTACGGAATCAATACACCTAACTACTATAATTATAATATATAGTGAACAGATGGTAATATAAATATTTGTACACATATCTTATGATACTGTGTACATAAATAGCACAGCACACGAGGCCTTTGACGATAAGCTCAGACTGCATGATTTTACAACCGCAGAGAGATGCTGTTTGAACATGTGCTCGTAACCTACGGCAAATGTGCTTATTTCGAATTCAAACTTCGTTTAGTAGATTATTTCATCAGTAATTCGATTTGCTTGACAAAAAAAAAATTATATTAAATTCTCTTTTATAATAATATCATAATTTATCATTTACGTGTTCGTTTTATACGCTCGGGCACTTCTATAAATTCGACGGTATACCGTTTCGTTTGAACATAATAATATGATTGAAATTACTAAAAAAAACAACAACAGGCTATAGCGTAAATAAATCGAATGAAATATATCATAGAATAATAATGATATTATCATTGTCGTCGTCTGAGAATATTTTGTTTTCAGACGTTCCAGGCGCTTTGTAAAAAAACCGGCGTTCCGTCTGGAAGTAGTGAACTGCACAGCTAGTGGTGGCGCAAAGAAGGTCGATCGGACGGACGCGTTCGTGGTGCTCATGGATAACGATGATTCGCCACTTCCGTCTGGTACCGGCATCGGCGGCGGCAATAGGTGGGTGAAGAGGAGGCAGCGAAAAATGGGCACCGTGCGGTTTTTCGACGACAGACTAGCTCGTTTGCCGGCCACCGACACTGGAAAAACCATACAGTAGACGAGACGACCACAGCATCTATTGTAACCTATATTATTATACCTGTTTAAACATACAATCCTCGTCCGCGTCCGTTCACCCGAGAGATCCACGTACACGTCCGTCGAAAGATACATTTTTGCAAATACCCGTAGACCCTAATATTAAAAAAATGTTCAATAATATTGTTACCTGTTGATCGTACATATTGTTGTGACCAAATATACGATAATGCACCGACGACGAATCGCACACGAAATCATTTACTGTCATTCCGGGTTTTTCGTTTGTAATAATATACATATACATTAGACACATTACGCGTGCATTACAGGTGTTAGTAGACTATGCCGATTTCCCTGATAATCTGTTTTTAAATAAAAGTCTGCCCAAAACCATCCATCGTTTGTTTTATTTCAGTAATCAGTTCTCCACACATTGAAAATTAAATTATTACACAAGTAGGTGAACTACTCGTTTTTCAAAAACGTGTTATACAACCAATGTCAATCTAATTATAATATGTTTTAAGTATGATGTACCATAGAAATAAATTTAGATTTTCTGTGACTAATGGCCAAAATTTTCAATATAAATATAAAAAAAAAATATTTGTTCACAATTTATTATTGTTTCTTAAGTATTTTACTAGAAGCACGGTGCGCAACATTGCTATGTTATGTACTTAGTTTATAGTTTTAAAACTATTATTACTTGTTATTAGGTTCTTAAATTATATTTGTTTTTCTACTTTATTTTCCAAATATACGTATATGAATATATGCATATATATTAACGAGTAGTACACCAACAATCGTGGTTGTGTCTGAACATTTGTACACACATTTAAAATTCATCAAAACAAAAAGTCATTTAGAACCGACAAATGTTTGTTTTAAGCAGATTTTTATTATTAAATCTTAATTTACTTACTAATTTAAACATGAATATAAAAATTATTAAACTTGCTAATATTAATACTATATGTCTATGTGTAAACATTAAAAAAAAAAAATTGAGTAAATATTATATCAAGAAAATTGATTATTTGTTCATAAAAAATATGATTTTTCGTCTTGTTAATAATAACTAATAGCTTTTGAAATTTTTCAAACAGTTATTTGATCTTTTTCAAAATATTTGTGCGAACTAATCGTTTAATACAAACGTAATTCTTAAATTAACATACGTACTTATTTTTACAACACTAGAAACAATTAATAAATAATAATAGTTATTTCATGGACAAGTTAAAACGCGTAAGGTATTATAATATTATTGATGCGGGAGTGCATGACGTTATTTGACCCGATTTTATGAAGTAATTCAGTTTCGCCATGTAAATAATATGGATTATTTGTCGACAACACATTCTGTCTCAGAGCCAAATAGATTCCGTTTTCGATAAAATTTTAATTTTTAATTTCAACTATGAACTAACATCAGTTTTGACGAGACTATGAGAACAATTTCGTTTAGTTCAGATTTTAGCTTTTTACAGGTTATAGTCAATTGTAAAGATATTGTAAAACACTGTCAGCATTTTAACAGCTCCTATAAAGATATGATAATGCATGGTGGTATATACGGCCCTAGAAAAAGGTTCACTTATATTGCTGCATATTATTATAATACTTCCATTGTGCTCACGACCTCATGCACACTGCAATAACACATTATTGTATGGCATATTGTAAAACTATTATAATTCACATGTGCAGTATTGTAATTAATAACTTATAATATTACTTGAGTGACGAGAACAGTATTGTATCATTTAATCAAAACGTATAAAAATTACATAATATTATACGAAGTTGGTTTTTTAGACCATACATAATATTATTAAATAAAATAGTGGTTTGCACTTGTCTGCACGTCAGTTGACTGGGTAGGCGATCGAACACTTTTATCGTAAGTAGTTGTTGGAATTTCATGACACAGATGTGTGATGTGAGGACGATCTACCCCATACCTAACCTAGTAACTCCTAGACACTGAATTTCACATTTTTCTTTGTTTCATACAATTTTATATATTTCCCGTTCACTGGGGAAGATATATAAAATAGTAAAACCTATATTATACGTCATATTATGTTTCGAACAAATTATTTATCAATTTTTTTTTTTAAATTTGACGTTCATTTTAATAATTTATATTTATTTTGATTAAACCTTTTGAACTGTCACATCAAAATATCTATATATAATTGATCATCGGAGGCCATACTTTTTTGATATAAATGCACTTAAAATATACTTTTCTATAGACACGGTTGTACAAATCGAGATAATTTATTAATTTTTATTAACAACAAAATATATCATGTATAAATTGTATGGACTATAGGTAATAACCAATAACGGTATACGTAATTGATAAACTAATATTATACATTTTAACTGTGTGCATTGTACAATTACTTAATATTGAGTGTTAAGTAATGAATGTATTGATCGTTTTAAAAGAAAATAATATAATATAATGTTAAGTTAAAATTTGGGTTTGACATTGCATATCATTGGCATGTAGACAAAAACACCGAGAAGAGTTTATCTTTGTTATTGGCTTATCAAATACAAATATGATGAGGTAGTTGATTTTTGTGTATCGGTTAGTTTTTGAGTTTAATAATTTTCACTAATGATAATATCCTGTTGTAATAATACATAATATATAAACGTCAGATTTAATATATGATAATAATTGTGTTCTAGGTAGATGATAACACTATTAACTGCAGTAATAAATAACCGTGAGCATAATATTATTAATAATTATATTATTTTGGTAAGACGACGACCGGTTTTCGTTGAGCGTTTATGGACGTCGCGAGTTTTAGGCTCATATGATATTATTTGATTACATAATAACATATGATAATGGTTGGAAAAAAAAATATATATGGAAAACTAACGAGTGTGGGCTGCGCCTGTAAATTTGTCATTTCAATGGCCTAGTCGGTGCAGTATAGTAGTAGCACAAACAACATCTGCAGCACTGCAGTAGAAGCGTCCGTCCTCCGATTGATGCAGCCAGAAAGTAAATATTGTAGAAGTTGATACAATTACGTTAACAATTTAACGTATGCCAATTTTTTTTTTAATAATATAGTTTGATAAAATCACGTTAAATGTTTAACGTATTTCCTTTTTTAAAAAAAATATATGTGTGATATATTTTATGTGTGAATATTTACAGATTTTATAATACGCATTTATTACGAACGATTTGTTATTTAAGAATCAGTATGTTGAGACTCAAAACAATTTAATTTCAGTATTCAAGGGGCCAAAGTAAATAAAATATACAACAAACACTTGCACATATTGTTTATCATAGGAATAATTTAAAAATTCAAATTAAACCTAAATTTTATCTACTTTTGATAAAAGTGTGATAGTGTGAATTAAAAAGAATTGTGTTTATGAGAACCATAAAAATGTTTACAAATGATTTTATAATAATTCGTTATAAATACGTACTTCAAAGAATATAAAGCTACTAAAAATATGGTATCATTTATTCTTTATAAAATTAAATTAATTATCAACATAATAAATATAATAAAACATGTATATGACTGTGAGTTTTTTAGTACCCGCTGATTTTGGGAACCACTTATTAATTGCCAATTGGCATCGAATTTTGGATACATATTCCTTGAGACCCTGGGAGTATTTATAGATTCATTTTTCAACCTATGTAGATTACTATAGCTTGACTCAATCCTACAGGAATCACGAAAACCGAATATTTTGCGTTTATGTATAGCTATGGTTGCCATTGATTACAGCAAATAAATAGGCTTTTCTAGTAATCTATATATATATATATAAACTAATGTCTGTTTGTAGTTTATATATGTGACAAAAATAGCAGATATTATTTTTAGATACATCGATGTATAAAGTAGTTTGTACGATGTTAAAAAAAAATATATATATACAAGTCATATATGTTTACATCCAATCCGCGACGGGCGATTGCCCATCTCGGTCAAATTAGTGCACAAAGAAAGTTACACCGAAGTCGATTTTTCTGTGAACTGAGGTACCTATTACCTATACTGAAACCGGGGTACACCTGTACAGCTATGTATCACCATGTTCTATATTTGATCAGTTTTTTCCAGGACAAAGTCTGGTTACACGGCTAGTTATAATATAGAGCTGCACAGTCTTAAAATGTTTATTAATACCATTAGTATTATTGATCTTCGTAGTGCCTTTGGAGGTGCTATTTAAATTACGCTCGAAAAAAATAGTGACGAAAACAGGAAGTATTATAAAATATTGTTGATGTTATTAAAACTTTGCGTTTAACCTGCAGCTGGGATTAAAATTAAACTGAAGAATAATTTATAGTGTCCTCCGGGTTCTTCGCGTCACAAGACTTTCCAGAAAACGGTTTCGATGTTTCTAATTGTCTATAGTAAAATATTATTATTGTGTTATAAACTTATAATATTTCAACTGTGTATTCCGCAGTATACGATAATATAATAACGATTAAAGTAATAATAATATAACACAAGGAAAACGGTAATTCGTCGACTTATTTATAGAAATATAATATACTATTATAACGCAATCATTAGAATGCGCGTAACACGCCGTAGGTAATCGTTGAATAATGCTTGTGATTGTGGGGAAAGAGGTGAAATAAATCTTGAGCTCATTATATTTCCGTTTAATGGTTTGTTTAAATAATGTCTTGTGTTTTCGTAAGATCTTCGTAAGTCGTCGTCAAGTTCTCATTTCGGGTTCAATCGATTGTAGATTTAAACCGAGAAATTATTAAATCGGTTTCTAGAATATTAAATACGTAATACTTATACGTTTATATATTCATATTGTTATTTCTCTGAAATTGATAGTAACTAATTATAATATGAATATAATGGCTTGCGAATATTTTCAATAAAGTTTTCATTTAACAATAATAAAAGCCCTAAGGTATCAAAACAATTCCAACAATTTTTCAAACACAGACGGAATATATAATTTATGCATAGTTCCGAAGTTAATATATATAAAACGAAAAAACAAAAAAAACTTACATCTAAATTAAAACAATAGAATAAAACGACAACAAATAAGAAATGGTTACGACAAAAAATACAAGTTTGTTGTAAGTTTTTAATTTTTTTTTTTAATATTTTCATTTGCTTATAAATTGTTTTTTTTATTTTTATTTTGACCACACATCTTATTTTTATAG